CTTGGAATATTCGGTGAAGTGTTTGCCCTTTTGTTGCATTTCCCTATGTGATGGTTATAGAAAAATTAGCAGGGAGTTGCGGCCATTCGTTTAAGCCCAAAGCCTGAAACTCAGGGCCCATTGAGTTTCTGTGCATTCAAAGGTGGCTGTGATAGCTGGAAAGTGTAGGCTGCCCACCGTGGGAAGGGTGGTGGAGGGCGTTCCCCAGGGAGCCCCCCCAGCCAGTGCTAATAAACACGACTGGCTCTTTATGGGACCCAAATGTCTGAGGAGATCTGAACAGCCCCAGGATGTGGCTGAGTGCCAGAGGATGGTGTCACACTGACTGTCCAGTAAAATATGACTCACTGGAGTCAAGGACACCATATGGTCTTAGGTTTGTGTTGAAACCTGTTTCAGTGTGAGCATGAACCTGAGATCCAAATGCAGAGACTCTCTTTGGCCTCAGTGTGTATAGACTTCAGTCAGCGTTACCTCTGCTCCCTGAGAAAGAACAGCCTCTCAGCCTGCCTGCTCTGGAGTGCTGCTGCTTTGGAGGAGGTGGTTAGTCAATATTTGGGGCATGCAGATTGCTGGATTGCAAAATGGGAAACAGATGTGATCTTGATGTAATTTTATATCTTTATCAATAAGATGCACCAGCTCCTGGACACCTCACTAAGCAAAATGTTGAGGCAGTCTTTGTTCCCATCTCAAGCCTCTTTCACTCATCCTCTGCCCAAAAGCACTCTCTATCTGAGATTGTCATTGGGCTTATTTAAGAAGTGATTGGCCTTCTGCTCTGGCCTTCTGCTCTCTTTGTGTTCTTATAATCCTGGTAACTCTACCATTTTTCTTTTATGACCTCCATTCAGTCTTTTCTGTCTTTCTTTTACATGATACTCAGCCAAGTTCGTCTTCATTGCTGTCATTTTTAGTGTGAGTCTATATCTGCCTTTTTAGGGGTTAGTGGCAATGGTGACGTATACTTGTGGTTGAAGCAAAAGCCACTATTGAGTTGGACAAAATAGGATGAATGCTGTATAAAAGCCTTCAGAGAGCTGTGAAATCTCCATCCTCTCTTCCTTGTTCTCCTGGGAACACTTGCACAAAGAGTATTTTTAATGTGAAGGGAAAAGGATTCTGATGAATACTCATTAACATTTTGTTTCTGCAAAGATACATATATGATCATCACAAGGCTGTGAGGGACATGTATTCAGGAAAACTCTGAGATGTACACTTAGTGTTATGTATACGCTTAAATCTTTCTGATGTCTCCAGCTTTTCTGAACAGACACGTTAACCAAGACCAAAACAGGTATTTGTTGGAGCTTGTTTGTCCTGACCTGGCATGAGGCAGAGTGCTGTGATACAGGTGTTTGAACTCCCTGAATAATAGCGCTCTGTGAGCAGTGAATCCTCCCACATAGCTGTAGCAAGATTGATTGAAATAGACGCCTGCAAACAATTTGTATCCTAGCTGTTAACAGCAAACAATAAGGGCAGCATTTAACCGACGAGAGATTGCAAAGGGAAGCAACATCAGAGCCAACATATATATTCTATAGCATGTTTTCATCGTGTGACTCTCTAGTCAGTCCAGCTGGGAATCATCAGATGAAGGCTGTTACTTGTCCATTGCCACTTTGGAAGCTCCAGTCCCAAAAATGCAAATCTGATATAGACTGAAGTCTTTCTAGGATACTGGCTATATACCACCTTTCTGAACTGGTTAAACCCAGGCCAGCCTTGGTCAAGAAGAATTAACTTAGTGTGGGGCTGAGCTAATAACCTCCTCTGAGGGGCAGGAGAACGTCTGTGCCTCCTCCTGCAGACATACCATTGATAATGTTCATCTGTTGATCTGAATGTGTAAGGGGGAGTGTTGGGCTGGCTTAGCTGTGTGACTAGATCCTGCCCAAGTGGTGTGAAAGATCCCTGGTTTAGGTTAGGGTTAAAGGTTCCCACTTACACCGAAGGGGAACATGTCTGGGGCAGAGGTAAGCAGATGCGACAGAAGGTTTTCCAGGCTTTGCTGGAATTCTCATATCTTGTCACAGGGGGGACCGTACACTTGTTTTTCATGAGGTCCTCATTCTTCCAATGATTTTAATCCAATCTGTGCTTTAATCTGTGCTGATCTTTCTATATAAAAACTTGTTTGTTTGTTTGTTTTTCCAGCATTTTTTTGGCTGGAATAATGAAGTCTGACAAAATCAAGAAAAAGGATGTATGGCCCTTGCTATTTCATTTGGAAATACCCAGAAATATTCAGAAGATGACCATATATAGCTGAGTATTATTTTGACTTACTCAAAGCAAACTGAAGTCAAGATACAATGTCACCAGGGACTGGAGTTTCTGTCACCATGTGATGGCTGGTTTGCCAAATCATTAATTTAGTATCTCTAAATACTGCTACACTGATCCAGTATGAATGCAGGAGCCCAGGTGTCTTTCCTGGAGAAGGGAAGCTCCAGGTTCTGGTCCTTAATCACAGGAATTTTTTTACACATAGGAAGAATTGAGAAGCAGGGGCCTGATTCAAGGACATCCATGATGACAGCGCCTAGGTGCAACAACCAAACCAGCTCATCAGGATGGCGATTCAGCACTGGTACAGCACCCCAGGGTTGGAGAGTAGAAGAGTCAAGCTCCTGTTACCTGGACCCAAATACTAATTCAGACAGGCTTACCCTGGAGGGCAGGGTGAGTGACTTCAGAATATGACAACTACTTCGGATTTGTCACTGAAAATCAGTCACACAAGAAGACCACTGACTTCTTTGGACAAATGGGCCCAGAGCATTCTGGTTAATTTCAGGAGCGAGTTACACCACTAGTTTGCATCACCATTCATTTTGACCATTCTGTGACAACAGGTTACTTGGGATGTGTATGTAATTGTGTGTGTGTTTTTTTTCTTTTCCTAGCTGATGGAAAGATAGCTGTGTAATTAACGGACTGGGTAATTTGTTCTAACAATAGGCCATATTGTGATATTGATTGTTAAACAGAAGTCTCCCTTAGCAGAAAAAAAATAAAGTAAAATTAAAAATTGCATTTAAGTCTGTTAACATAATAGAGCCCAGTGTTTCTAAGAAAGCTGCATTTGACCTTTGGTGAAGACTAGAGATGGTAGCACCTGTTACAAGTGAAGCAAATGAAGATGATATATCACTTCTATTTATATGTTAGACCCCAAGCAATGTAAACATTCTGCTTCTTGGATTAGCACATCCTCAAAGTACACAGAGCTAGTCGAAAAAAATATGGAGATCTGAATGGTTAAAATTATACCCATCATTTGACATAAGTACTACTCTTCCATACATAAGTAATGTGAATGTGATGTTGCACAAATATTTACAGCTTCATTTACCTTCATCTTCTTTTCATTAATTGCAGGAGGTCTTGTGCTCTGATGGTTTTCTGAAAAATACAAACTGAATATTATTCATATCTCTGCTGCTGATATTTGCTGTCAATAAATAGATTCAGTTAAATGGGAACAAATGTTTGATTCATAATCCTCTTGCAACTACAGACTTCATTATGTATGAAGAATGCAGAGATTAATTCTTCCATTTGCCAACAGCACATTTCCAGTTTCCCAGTATATAATACACACATGCAACTGTAGAATAGTGTTAACCTGTACCAGGGCTGAAATATCTTTTTCTTCCTTTATAGGGTAGGATATAAGAATTATTTTTTGAATTCAATCTGACTGGGGCTGCCAAATTCTTCCCATGCTGTTATGTCTAAGGTATTTCTTCTCTTTGGTAAAGGTGAAATTATTTTGTACTGCAGTAAATCGGTCCCTTTAATATCTTTATTATGCCTCCTTAGAAGTTTGATGAAAAAAAAAAAAACACAAACATTTTCTGAGCACATGACAAAATTTCCTTTTCCAAAAATTGATTACTTTTTATCATAAAATGCTATTATGCCAGATCTCAAGAGTTAAAGTTTTATCGTAAGCAGATTCTATTTTCAGATAGCATCGTGTGGAGACTATGTTTTCAAAAGCATTAACTCAAACCACACGGATGCACAACTGTTTTCAAATATGAGAATTCACACATGCTTTTTATTACAATGCACATAAAACTGAAGTATAGTACAGTAGGCTTTGGCAATAAAACAGAGTAGTCAATATATAAATTTTATGCCTAGTTCTTTAGGTTAATGAACCACTTTTCTTGATGAATTGAGTATGAATGAGTAAAAACACAACAATCTGATTAGATACTAAATTGATGTTTTTTGGCAGTTCAAAAATGGAATGTCTAGTTCAGAGTTCACTCCCTCCCCGCCCCCCCGGGACAACTTGATAACCTTCTTTTACTAGCCAAACCACTAAAGAGACATTGTCAGTCTCTTCAAGTTCACTATTGTTCTCAGAAAATCACTTCCTTAAGAAAGACCCATATGTTGAGGGTCTCAGTTGTACTTTGTGGGAATCAAAATTATAGGTCAAATTCATTTGCTGTGTAACTCCATTTAACTTAGATTCAGCTGACACAAATATCTCCTAATGCTGTAAGAGCTTTGCCTTCTCTCTGCTGGCACAAGAAGTGGGGAGAGGTCTGTAGTCAACAGGAGTCAGTTGCAGGTGGGGGAGATTCCTCAGGGCTGAGATTTAAAAGTTGAACCATGTTTGCATTTGGAAGCTTGAATTTGCTTTTAGGAATATAAATGAGGACAATGAGTAGCCAAATGAAGTGAACATCCAGATAACCTTCTTTTGTAGGAAGGGCCCTTTTATGTGTCTACGGCAGCCCAGACCTTTTTCATCTTAGAGGCACTGGGAAGAGGAAGTGCAGATGAAGGCTGTCACATGCTGCTCCAAACCTCCAGTGGCTGGAAGGGAAGGAGTTAGTCAGCCCCTTAGCACCAGCTGGAGGAAGTTCTGTGCTGCAGGTAGTGATCTGTGGAGAGTAGAGGTGGGCCAGCTGGGAGAAATAAGCTGGTTGCTGGTGGGGGAGGTGGGGGAGAGGTATATATAAGGCTGCAGTAGCAGAAAACCCTTATAGAGAGGTAGTGTTGCTGCTTGGGGGTATTGGTTGTAAGAAGTTGTGGCTCAGTCTGTTATGAACTTGGCTGAGATAAACCATTCTTTGCACTCTCCTCTGGAGTCTTTTATAGTGGTTGTTCTTAAAGGGTTGAGAAGGCCCTTGGTAATTAAAGGCTCTCATCTTGAAGACAATAGTGGAGTGGTTGTAGTTTCTGGACTCTGTGACACCCCCTCCTAGTGTTGTGATTCCTTATGAGGAAGGCAGGCTGTTCAACCGGTGTGATGGAGCCATCCAAATGGAGCTGAACCTGGATGGGATAAGCTCTCTCTTATGGGAAAGGATGTCTCTGCTGTCTCACAACCTTCTGTAGCTGTTGGTTCAGTGAAAAAGGGATATGAAATGCTAAGTCAATGATTCTTACTGGGACAGAGGAATAGCGGTATATGGTGCCCAGAGGAAAGCTCTGGTAGGAGCTGCAGTCTTTCTATACAAATGGTGAGTGCTGTGGGGAATGGGAACACTAGCATTTCAGGCAGTATGGTGTGAGTATGGCAAAGATGATGAATCCTCCAAGGTGGAAGAAGCAGCTGCTGTAGAGATAATTGGAAAATGCAGACTGTTTTGTGAGTTTTGCCTGAGCTGTGGGAGAGTTGTATTCTTGTGGCTGCCAGAAAGGACAGGGTAGATGGGGCAGCCTAGGGTTTTTTAGTGTGTGCAGCTGTGTCCTTGCCCACATCAGAGAGGTCTGAAATGGAGAGAGAGAGAAAACAAGTGGTGGAATTGAAGAAGGTGGCAGCACGGACACAGGAGTGAGCTGGTGTGTGTGAGCTGCTGGCATGTCCCAGATGGCCTGGAAGAAAGGAAAGGAGACATGTGGTGTGCAAAAAATAAAACATTAAAAAGGAAGAAAACTCTTTCAGAGTTCAGCTCTTGAAATAGACCTGCCAGGGCGAGGGGTCCTGTCCCGGGGATCCTTTACATCCAGAATCCACTGTAGCATTCTCAGACCTTCGTCTGGTCCCTTTTCTTCCTCATCAGTGTCGTCCCCCTCCCCCTCCTTTCCTTTGTCAGGCAACTCGTTAACACTTATTAGCAAGCATCTTCAAAAGGCCAGGAGGCGGGGGTAGGGGGGTGGAAGGATGGGAGGGGAGCTGAGATGGCTAAAGGAAATGATTAGGAGATTCCTTTTCCTTTCTGCCTATTCAAGCTTTAATGACCAGCCCTTGCTCTGTCTGTGCCCTGCATTGTTCCAGCCCTACGCCAGGATCGCAGCATCCCTGTTACTCTGGTGCTGATCCACTTGGACATCTGGGACACTGCAAGTGCCCACAGCATCTACACATTTTTCATTGCTGGGTCTTAGTCTTCCTGCTGCACTTGATGCTGGTGTTGGTACTGTGCCAGCACTGGTTTGTTACCCTATTTTCACGTTGGTGCCATCAGTGCTGGGCTGTCTTGCTTGGTCTGCCTTTCTGTGATCCTGCCTTGAGACTGATCTCTAGTTACATCTAAACATGGCTTGTGAATTCTGGGTATCCAGCATCAACAACTAAGAATCTGCTAAGCAGCAAATGGGTTGTTTTTGTGGCTAGAATTGTGTTTGCTTGAGGTGAAGGAAGGATGGCTGAATAAAGGAGACATAACTTGGCCTGGAGCTTTCTATTTCTGCCTTGCAGTTCCAATGTCTCCGGTTGCAATGCATGTACTGTGGTTTCCACTTCAGCTACTTATCTAAAGCTGAGTCCTAATCCTGTCCGAGCTGATGGCAGAGCTCCCGCTGGCAATGGGAGGAGCAGGCTGGATCAGCGGAGACTGTTTTGGGAGTTCTGTTGTGGAACATGAGTTATATTTATGTTTTGTTTGTTCTGCCCATCAGGGTCTTCAGACTGGTGTTTCTGCACCCTTTCCAGGCCATGGTACCAGAATTACAGATCCTGGGCATTAGTGAACTCCCATGGAAGGATTTTTCTGTCAGAAGATGCCTGTAGCCTGGTGATGACAACTCACTCCTGCTCTTCTCCTACCTGACAAGGAATTGAGAAGTTTTCAGAAGCTGTTTAAGTTTTGTATCTACCAAGGAGTCTAAGCATGAAATGCCAGTGCACATGGTCTTTCCATGAAGCTCTTGCCTTTCCTGCAGGAACAGCAGCTTGGCAACAGGTGAGCAGGATGCCATCCCTCCCAGCAGCAGGTGCCAGGGGGGAGGCAGGTGAAAGGAGACTGTGCAAGGTTTCTGCCTCACAGAGGGAGGGAAGAGGCTTCATTGATTTCCTACTCTTGCTCAGTGCTCCTTAACCTCAGGCTGTACTGTAATTTCTGTAAATTCAGTACAAAGCCCTGATCCAAGGAATGGATGATAAGAGACAGCCTTGAAATGAGAAGAGCTTTATTTGAATATCAGTGTAGGTCCTGGGCTAGAGATAATAGGTCTAGGGTGCTTCCTGAAGGCAGGTGGGGCCCTGGAAGGCAAATCTGGCTGGCCTTAACACCTCGGGCCTTACTATAGACACATTATCTGTGGCGGGCTTCTCTAGAATCTCTTCTTCCTGAAGTATTAGCATAGACATGTATTTGCAAGAGACTGGCCACTTACCAGTAACCTGGAAAGAGGTTTTGACAGGGCTTGGCTGTGCAGAGAACAAACGTGATTTTTTTAATATTTTTTTCTCCAAAAGCTGGTACTCTGTGAGGGCCTCTGGCTTACTCCCTTGGGATGTGGGGATGTGAATTCTTTGGAGCAATTGCTGTTTAGTGTGGAGAGAAACAGAGACTTTCTAAAATCAGGGGATGTTTTACCACTGAGTTCAAGCTGTTGTGGTTTGGAGCAGTAAAGCAGAACTTGCTCAGGTAGTTCAGTGACTTCAGTGTCAGCATTAAAGATGAGCAAAAATCTGTAAAGGGAGGGAAATTGAGTCAGTTATTTAGCTTCTTCTGGCTATTAACTTGTAGAACAAACCTTGGATAATGTAAAGGAAAAAGATTGAAGAGGCCCGGGTGGATGGCTGAAGCACTTCTGCTCATACCCAGGCTGTGCAGAGCCTGCTCAGAGCTGAGCTTCTTCGTTCACAACAGTTTGTACAAGGTTTCTTCTTTCAACAACTTTTTATTACAGTGTCTGCTGAGGCTATAAGAGAATCTCCTCTGTGTTGCTAGCTGAGGCTTCAATTTAAAAAAAAAAAAAAGATGGGGAGAAAGTGGATTTTGAGATTAATACTGGAAAATTGGAACTACACATGGAAAAAAACAAAGTTGGTGTGCTGGGAAAAATAGACAAATATTATTTTTTAGTGTTTTTTCAGTGTTTGGTCTTTATCTATTACTTCTTCCATGCTGCATTTTGGAAAGTATTTGGCAAATGTATAAAAGCAATCTGTAGGATACTTTGTAGTCAGATGCCATAACCTAGATTAACTTGACTGCCTTTACAGAAATAGCCACTAAAGAAATATACTGATTTATGTGTCAGTTTGAAGCTTGTTTCAGGGAACTGTTACAACCATACAATACAAAAAAATATTTAGGACAGAGTGCAGAAGTTTTATAGCTTTTTAGTGTGAAAAGAGGGGGGTACATTTCAATTATGTATTTTATTAACACAGCTTTTTTAGCTCTATAAAATGGTAACAATGTTAAAATCCCCTCCTGGGAAATAATGGCACATATGCCACTGAGAGATAGTACTTGAGGATGTTATGAAATGCTGGTGGAGTTAACCAGTTGTTAATCAGTCGTTCATTTGCAGCTGAGTGCTGCTCCATCAGAAACTGAAGATAATTGGATGCTATTTTTGACTTGCAAGCAGTTTTGTTGTGAACTTAGTGTCTAACAAGATATGTAAGGAATTATTACTGTGATAAAATCAGGTCAACTCAAACTAAACTTTCATCTACTGGTGGGTCACCAGTGGGTTGGTGCTGAGGGACGTGGGGCCTGAGCAAGAAGCACTGGCTGATGGTGGGTACAGATTGCTTCTGGCTAGCATCCTTGCTGCCCTGATGCTGCTGGCATCACTGAAGGGCATCCTCTTGAGACAAGGCCTCTGGGGAGCCTTCATAAGGAGATGATGAGGATCTGGTGCCCCAGTGCCTGTTTCTGATGGGTTGGAGGCACCCCTGTAGCTGGCAGGATCTGAGCCTGCTCTCTGCTTCTTGGCTTGCAGGGCTGAGAGCATGTCTCTGTTGGGACCTGGCAACAGCTGGCAGTCGCTGCTGCCTCTGCATGCATCTTCTTGCTCTTGGTGAGTCCCTTCTGTGGGTGCTGGAGTGAGGCAGCTGCTATGCCCAGAGCCACTGATGCCCCTGTGGTGGCTGAGCCCTGTTGCACCCGGTCCTTAAGGCTCTGGGGCCGGGATGTTTCTGGCCAGTCCCATGTTGCCAGCAGTCCTGCACCAACAGTGCTGTGCTTGTGGTCCCCAAGGGCACTGAGGTGGGAAGACCATGAGGAGGGCAGTGCTTGAAGGCAGCTCTAGCTGCATCCTGCCTTGCCCTCAATTAGCAGAGCGTGCATGAGGACAATAGTCCAGCCACAGAGGAAACTCAGGGATGCCTGAGCGTGAGCATTTCTGTGCCATGCTGTGTGGGACACTCAGGAACTGCTGGGAGCACCAGGGCCTGCTAGAAAGATGCTGCAGGGCTCTTTCTGACAGGACATGTCTTCAGAAGTGAACATGGTGCCACAGGGCTTGCTGTCAAGCTTACTGGGTGCTGACTGCAGGTCACAAAGCCACCCACAGCTAGTCTGTCCCAGTTTATTGCAGTCCTGTTTTCTGCTGTTCTTGGCAGAGGCATCTGGTGTTGTCTCCCTGCCTTTCTCCACAAGGCATGAACCCCACACTGTGCCTTGCAGCTGCACTGACTAGCTTGTCATCTTCCAGTAACTGCTTGTTTTCCCCCAGTGGAAGAGAAAGTGTTTTGGTAATCCCAACGAATGAAGGGGCTTTCTTAATTAAAGTAATAATCTAAAAGTTGTCATTGATAAGAGTGTAAACAAGCTGATTGCAGTGGGCGCTTGAATAGCTCTAATGAGCACGTGTGGGTATTAAATTAACCATGGTTCACAAGCCATGCATGGCTGTACAGTTATTTAGAAATAACCAATTTTCCCTGGTGCTCGACCCTGCCTACCACCCCAAAAACCTTGTCTTTCTACAGCATTGCACAACAGAAAGGAATCTGCTTCTCTCACAAGTCTCTTGGGCTTTACAGTAATTTATTGCTTTTAAGGGAGCTGGTAAGGCAGCCTGTGCTGTTGGCATTTTTCCCTTAGATGAAGTGCTACCCAGTGGGTGGAGCATGGGTGTTCAGCATCAACTTGTCCTTGCTGGTGGGTTGTCCCAGGGTCCTCAGAGGTGGCACTTCACTGCTGGACATGGTGGACAGCCCTATCTGTGAAATGGGACAACAATGGCTCTTGCAAGGCTGTTGTGCTGTTAACGAGCTCCTTGGAGGAAGAGCCCTACAGAAGTGCAAATGATCTCCTTACTTGCTGTTAATTATTGATATTTATTCATTGCAATAAGCAGAGTGGAAACAGTAGGGTTATGGTAGACTCAGCTGATCTGCAAGTGAGTGCAAGTACAGTGGGTTCTTGTGGTGGTCGCAAGAAGGAGCTTCTGGATCTGCAGCTCTCATCTGTTTATGCTGGTGGGCATCTGAAAAAGTTTTGCCTCTCCAGGCCCAGGAACATCTCCATGATTTGATTGAAAGAGTCTTGCATGTGTACCAGCCATCTTTTGGAATGGAAACAAAATGTTAAACTTATTGTGATATTGAATGGCTTTCCTGGGTGATCCTGTATACAGCTTAAAATGGTGAAGGAGGATAAAACTGCAGGGTGCCGTTTGGCTTCCAGAGATTAAAGTACAGCTTTTTCCCTGATGGAGAGGAACTCAGAGTTTGTGTGCTGCTATATACTGGAGGCAGTTGGACCTGATCTCCCATTTTAATACCAACTTGTTCTCCTTTGCTGTCCTTTCAAATTATCATACTATGACATGGAAAATCAGCTTCCTGCTAACTCCCGTTTCACTACAAATAGCCTCCTTTCTTTTGAGTGCTCTGAGATTTGGCAAAGAGCTAAGGTAGAGGGGAGATGCTGAATCTGTGACATTACCAAAGGCAACTATAGATCTTTGTTTCATGATGCAAGTCAGTTTAAACAAAAAAGAAATATCCTACTTATTGTGTGCTCCCTGTTCCCAACTTGTCACATCTACATTTATTTTTTTTCCCCTGTTGGGATAACAAGTAGTGGCTTTAGGAAACTGCTATAGCTTCATCTGTGTATATCCCTCTACATCTTTCATTCATCTGCTATGTTATTATCACAGGTGTTAGGCTCTTCTGTGTCTGTATGGTCATCAGACAAATGAATAACCAGTGTAACCTTGGCTTTGAATATCTTTGTGTTTACGAAGATGTCATCTTTTTATCTGCAAAAAGTAAGGGAGGAGGTTTCTGAGGGGGCTGTTTCCTTCCACTTTCTCCAGTTGGCACTATTTGATGTGGTGTGTGTTTGCGTATCTCATGTGCATCCCCTTTTCACCTGTCAGTTGGGATCATATATCCATGCCCTGGTGAGTGAGTTGTGGGAAGGCTGTCACTGTGCTCTGGGACAGTCTTGCTTCCAGCTCAGGCATCTTGGAAACACAGATCTGCAGCACCTTGCTCTGCTGGGCCTTCTCTCTCTCTCTTTTTTTTTTTCTTTTAAGTCCTTGGAAGCACAAGAACTGTCTTCAGGCCCACACAGGATCAGATGGGTTTTTCTTGTGAGGTCAGCAGTGTGAAGATAGATGTGAAACTCTGCACTTTTCTTGTCTGCCCTGACAAAGACAGCTCCATGAAAAAGTGTTGCACTCCCCAGAAGTAGGAGATGTAAAGAATGGGAGAAGAAAAGGGATTTGTCCAATCTTTTCCAGTAAATCATTGGAAGAGTTGGATAAGTCTTCATCCCTGAGCCCTTGCATTTTCTGTTCAGTACTGTTAAGTGAAGTAGCTGGAATGTGTGAAGAAAAAAGCCTGACCCCCATGTCAGAGCTGATACAGGCCAGAAGTATCCCTGTTCTTTCTCTGACAGAGTTAATGGTTCCTGATCTCCTGGGCTGGCTGCTTGCCTAAGCATCTCTGTGGTGCTACAGTGTGGGCTCTTCCTGAGAGGCCTGGTGCTAAATAATTCTGTCTTGAAAGGAGAAAACAAAACTAGTAGGGATGTTTTAGTAGAGAAGCGTGCTGTGCATGCATTTGGGTTAACATTGGAAGTCCCAGTTGGAATTTCTACACCTGTGTGTGATTTGTCTGGATCACTTCCCTTTCCTAACAAAGAAAAGGCAACATTGCCCTGCTGCTTGTGAAGCACTCTCCTGGCAGCCCCATGCCTGTTCAACTTGCGCAAGTCCAAACTAGGCAGCTAGACAAACTAGGAAGACAGCTGTGTGCTAAGCTTGCTGCTCACTACCCTGCTCTGAGGACAAGGTCTGGATCCCCAGGAACTGTGGGGAGCTACAACCTTCAGGTATATTTCTTCTGTGGCATAGACCAAGGCTTACTGAAGATTCCTAGTTTCAAGGTTTAGCAGGAGCTGCCATTTCACACTGCCAGCCAAGAGTCTGCATATATGCAATATAATTAACACCAGAAATTCTGACTCCTGAGGCTATAGGGTTAAACAAATGTGTCCCCATTAAACTTGAATAATAAGAGGTTAACTCATTAGGAAAAGAACACTCTTGATGTGCTTAATGGAGGAAGAGAATGTTAACTCTTACAGTTCCGTGCCAACACTCACATTAGTTTAACTTTTGTTTGAATGTTAATTTTTCTTCTATAAGATACTCTACAAAATCCCCCAAACGATCTCCTGTGTGTTTTGTATGAATCATATTTGATTTCCTGATTATTGGTCTGCTTGTCTCCTTTGGAGTCTTTAAAAATGTCTTGTTGTGGTGATGGTTGTTTGTATTTTTAAAAATAATGTGCAATGCAGAACTTCTGCGGAGCAAAGGTAAATCCTGAAAACTGCCCATTTGAATGTCCAGTAGCAACAATTTGCACGCCTGTGTCTTTCCTGTTTTATTCTTGCATTTCTTGAAAAAATATGCGGGAAAGACGTAGAGGTCCTATGTCATAAGCGAATGGTCTGCAAATTAACATTTTTCATCAAAGTGATTTTAATTGTAAAAGTGCACACACAAAAAAATAAAGACCTAATATTTGCCATTCCAAAAACGGTTAACTTTTTAACAGGTGTACCTTGCTTGTAAACCTCTGCTTGCAGCTGTTTTGGGCTAAGGACTTACTAGATATACTCATCCCTGTCTGGTCATGGAGTTCAAGGCTCACTGACACTCATCAGTGTAGAATGGATTTACCTGAGTTATGCAAAAGATGCCAAATTCAAAGGAAAACAGATGCTATACACAAAAGTGAATACAGCCAAGGCAGAAGCTTGGAAGTCTAATAGTACTCTGACATCAGCAAACCCTATGCTTGTAGCTGCAGAAAGCCTTTGGTGTTCCCCAAATGCTGTTCTCTATAGAAGAGAGCATGCATTCTTGCATGAAAATATAAATCTGGTGGAGCTGATTACTTTTTTTTACCCTGGACAGTGATGGAAGTAAGCAAATTTCAGCTCCTACAGCCATTTTGTCCTACTCTACAGCAGTGCTCAGCAATGAACACATTTGGGTGCTGTTGCCCAGCAGAAGTGTCTCTGGGAAGTGGGAGATGTCTCCATGTCTGGGAGGTTCTCCTGGAGCAGCTATCCTGTTTTCAGGCATCCTCAAGTCTTAGAGTTCTTTTAAATGGGGTAAATCTGGGTCCTTTGGAACTTCTGATACTATGAAGACAATAACCCTATTGCAGGTCATGCTTCTGCCACAGAATGATTAATCTAAGTTTTTGCTTAGTATGATATATGATTACACTATTCATTTTTGCAGTTTGGTCCAATCAAGGAAAAAAAAAAGATTATTTACACAGTTTTTCTAGAACTTGACTTTTTTTTTTTTTCCTGAGATTAATCTTTGAAAGAACAGAACAGATTTAACTGAATAATCAATTCTTAATAAGGTGAGAGCAGAGATCATCAGATTCCTCTGTAAACAAATAGGATAAGTAAACAAATAGCAAAAGCTTTCTGCATTGTTACTTGTATTCTGGGTCTTCCACAGCAAACGTTTGGATATCTTTGGCCATGTACTCTTTAGACTTGATAGTCATTAAAAATAAATAAATCTAGGGAGGGTTTTAAGTTGAGGGCCTGTGGGAGGAGAAGAAGAACCCCACCTATCCTTGACATTTGATGAATTGCTCTAGAAATGAGATTTGCGTACGGAACAGCTACATGTTTGAAGCAGCTTTAGCTGGGAACGGCTCCAGTCATGAGTGGAAAAGACCAAGAGTAGCCTCAGACTATGTTATAATGTTTTTCAAGGCAGAAATAATTTATAATGCATGCAGCTGTGTAAGCTCAACAGAATCAATTATGGAACATTTTATTTTGTGGATCACCTGAGAGTAGCCTATCTTCCCAAAGCTTGTAAAGAAGAGATACAAGAAGTCTGGTAAATGTTTTCAAGCAAGGATGTTTCCAACAGCAGATAGTAAACCCGTGATGTCAGCCAAAGACAGGAAATCAATGTTTTGGCTCCTGCATCCTCCATGGCTGTGCCTCTTTCCTGCATGTGGGAGCATGCATGTATCTGGAACCTTATAAATAATCACACCAACGTGCTCTGTGTGGTGTAGAGGCTGTCTTAGAGTGACTGGCTTCTGGGATGTATAGGTGCTTATCATAAACACTTGCATGTTCTTTGAAAAACTAAAGAACCTGTTTTCAGTGTTGTCCCACAAAATGAGTCTGGAAACCCAAGCTGTTCCATATGCTGCAGCAGGGTGGAGGAAATAGCACCTTTTTTTTTTTAAGTAACATTTTTGTTGAGTTTACTGTCTGTTATATGGACAAATTAATCTCCACATTTGTCAGGTGTTTCATACAAGACTTCTGTTGCAGCAGCTGAAGCATTTAGATTTTTGTCTTTATTTTTATTGGCCTGGTTTCCACTTTAACAAATTCACAGCTTGTGAGCTATTGCTGGAAGATTCAAATGTGCAAACCATTAAAGGAAGCTCTAAGCAAGCCATCCTTTTAATTTGTGTTCTGTCTTTGCTACTAATAGTGTGTAACATCTGACAACAGTGATGCCTAGAGCACCAGTTCCTGTTGAGACCCACTGTAGTAGGTGCCATGCAGGTGGGAGGGAGAATTCATGCCTTCTGGGGTCTTGAGTGGGAATGAAGTGAGATGAGCTGGGGGAATCACCATGGAGGGGAAAGAGAAGAAGTGGCTTGGTCACACAGCAGATCAGAGACAGAACAGGGAGTAGAATTAGGTCTCTAATAGGATATTTAGTTGCATCTAAACTCATTTTTCATAGTGCCTTGAGGCAGACTAGGTGACTACTTACAGTACTTTTTTGTCCCATTTTATTATGAGCCCGTGGATGGAATTAGTTGATATCTGCTAATCAGTGAGTGCAGACAAGGACAAGTCCCAATGAGGCTCACTTCAGCTTTCCTCGGGTAGACTTAATGCTGACCATGAGTCTTCCTTGTTTCCGCTGTCCGCTCAGATGTGGTGCCAATCTTGATCAACTTGGAAGTTTTGAAAACTGAGTTCAATTAATTTCATCATAGAGACAAGCCCTCTGGCCATGCAAGTTTGCAGGGAGAGTCGCAGAAAATAGGCTTGGATAACTACCTGTATTTCTCTGGAGTCACTGAAATCATACCCATTAATTCATAACCTGAAAATACAAACGTAAAGGTGATAGATGTGGTAAAAGAAATTGAGCTACTCTTTAACAGAATGCCGTGATGAAACTGCTGTAAGTGGAAGTGCTGAGTTCTTGATATGAAACAGTCTCCTAAAGATCCAACACATTAATAATGATAAACAGATCTTCCAATGGATATTGATTTAAGGGGGAAAAAAAGATGGATTAATACAAGCATTCATCTTCACTGTCAATTTAATATCAAGATAATTTTATTTGATAGTTCAATGTAATAAACTCCCCTTTTCCTTAATACATATTTGGGAAAAGCAGGCAATATTGTAATACAGTAATTAGCCATATTTGCCTTTACTATGTGTGAATAAGATTAATATACTAGAGTGTTCAACCTAATTGATCTATTATGTGATAGGGACTTGCAACCAGACTGCAAATTACAGTTTAACCCCCCAAAGGGCTAGACTTGTTTAGAAAATGTGCGAGTCTTTAAGAGATAAAATTAATAGAACTGACGTTGACCTAAATATTCAGTGTTATTAATTGTATCAGTGGATTGTGCTGCTTTTATGTGCAACTAGGAAGGCAGTGTGTTTAGAAAGAAGCAGGTTTATGACAGCAGTGGGAAGGGTGGCTAACAGAAAACATGACAATTACTGCAAACCAGGTTTCCTGGTTAAAAAAGTGATTGTCACAGGCCCTTAAAATTGCTATTCCATGTGGTTGTGATTAAACAAATCATCCGTGCAGTGTGTTTGGAACATAATGGCTCTGTGGGAAAAAAAATGTAAATCAGGTTTTTGTATTAATGAAAACGGTTTAATATGGTTTTAATGACCCATTTTTCAGTCTTCACCAGAAAGTAATTACCAGTTAGATAGTTAGTGCTCTGGGCTTTGTTCTGGCTCTCAGAACTCCTTCAGCCAGTCACCCGGGGGAGTCCTGCCACGCTTTGCGGGCAGCCCTGGGCTAGTGACCCAGCAGCAACCGGGCCCTTCTCTGCAGCTCCCCGCTTCATGGTGCGTGGGGACAAGTGGGTCTGTGCCTCTAGGCCGTTTATTGCTGATTAGACCAGGGTAAACCCATACAGAGACAGCAGCTGCCCCTGCAAACAAAACTAGGGAGACCTGGATATACCTGTACTTATTGGTGAAGAAGGTCAGGGAATGGCTGCTGCAAGGCTGACTGTCTGGGCATGGTGGCAGGGTGGGGAGCAGTGCACTGAGTGCGGGTGACTTGGCTCCCAGGGAAGGTGCAGCCCAAAAGCATACCATTAACAGGGACAGCTGGCAGGTTCAAACAGCCCAAATTCCCTCATCTCTAGCAGAAATGAGGGAGGAGCAGAAATGCTAGTCACTGGGGAAACAGACCAAGACTCAGGATTTGAGTGCACTTGCCCACCCAACCTAGTAAACCCTGTTGGCTTCCTGCTCTTGTGTAAAGGAGCAAGTTTTGAATCCAAATGACTGAGGTCTTTGCACCTTTTTAATTCTTGGAAAAGGCTACCAGCCAGTGGCATTCATTCAGATAGGGAATTACTAGATTAGTTTTTGCTGTGACGCTGTACTGGTGTTTACCCTCTAAGAAGGATGCTACAGCAGGTGCAGAGCAGCTGTGAGAGCACGTAAAATGCTGGTAGACACCTTTGGATCAAACAAACTAGGGTTCTGTAGGATGCTTATAGTTTGCACCTACTTACATAGGAGCAGATATTTCATAATAGAATGCTTTTTGGCCCTGTGAAGAAAGGCATAATGCAGCCCAGTTCCTTGAGGTAGGAATGTACAGACTCAAAAAGATACATCTTTCATATCAGGAGTGCTTAATGCTGGAATCCTTTGCTGAGGAATATGGTGAATTCATTGCTGTTCAAAATTTCAGCATCAAGGCAGAATGTTTTCATCTATAGGCCCACTTGTAGAGGCTCAGGATATGCTCATCCTGTTGCTGTTGGATTTTGGGCAAGAAGGATTGTGAGAAATCCTTTGTGCTGCTGTTAGAGTGAAGGCTGGGCTGTCATGGTGGTCACTGGTTCCGTGTGAGCATTCAGAGCTCGTCTTTCTGAACCTTCTGGTGGAGAGAGGGCCAATTCTACCTCACAGTCATATGGACACAAAAAATAATGAAGCTTAATGTCCAGGTGAAATACACAAGTTGCTAACTCTCCACTTTCTGGATGTTGCATTGGTTTGGGGGATTTTTGTGTGCTTGTCTCATCCTTGGAAGCAAAGGCAGGAGCCTTCCAGGTATCAGCTCTGCCACTACTAGTAAGAACCGGTAGGCTCACCCTGAATGTTTATTGCCTAGTACCCCACCTGAAGTAGTTCCTGCAGTTGAAAATCTGAACGGGTGGACATATGCATAGCTCTGTGCAACAGTAGCTGCTTTGCCTGCAGGCTGGTATGGTGAGACATCACAGCAGCCATGCAGCATGGGAGGACCTGCAGAAGCTGTGCAAGTTGTTGCTGTGGCTGGCTGGACGGGAGGCATTGGAGCTGGCTGATAGCCTGTGAGGCAGCCGTAATATTGGGCTCTCATAAACGCATGGGAAAAGATGAATTTTGGCTTTCTGTTCCTAGTCCTTCCATCCAATGGAACACATCAAAACATGTGTGTGAGACCAGTCAATATACAGGTGTGAGACTGTATTTAATGTTCCTAATGCTGTTGAAAAATAAAGTAGGTTGAGGGCAGTGGGTGAGAACGGAAGGAGATTTTGAGGGAGGGAAGGATCCTTCGGACTTTATTTATCCATTGTAAAGAAACATATGAAAGTAAACAGAAATCGATTTTCTAAAAACTCCTCCCAGGTCACCTGTGAGGGAAATAACGTGACACAACTCAATGCCATGCACTGCAGATTTTATCAAGCACATAAAGAAACCTAGCGCTTTATTTTTATTTTTGAAGTGGAAGTGGTTCAC